AGCACACGGAAACTAAAATTACTACATCTGTCCTGTTAAACTCAAAGTTACTTTTTCAGTATGTTCTGCATATGCGATCTGTAAATCACGAATTGCGCTTGAGTGAAAAACACAGGCTCATTAGTAGCTTAAAGTAGAAATCCAGAAATGTCTACCAATTACTGTCTTTAAAGAAATTGAAACTGAGTGTATGTTTTGAAGCACAGCAAGCTTCAAACAGAAGTCAAATATTTCCCCTATATTTAAGTAATTACTCTCAACAGAACAGACTCGAATATAGGTCCTGGATGACAACACCTATCCTTGCTATTGCAGCCACACTATAACATGATCTTTTTCATAAGCACACAGAACTCCTTCTGAGAGGGAAGGAATTTTTTGTCCCACCGCTCAGGTTTGAAGATTGTTTTATACCCTCATGGCTGTTTCAAATTTCTGATTTTCAGCTAGTATTTACCTAGAGAACAAGCAGTACATAACTGTAATTCGGTTAGCTTCAATTATTTTTTTCCTGCTGGAATTTTCTCCATGGGAATAAATATCAAGTCCTCAGGTCTCCAACAAGATTAACTTTTTTTTCTCCTCTTCACCTCAGATGTTTCACTATTTTAGTTGGATTCAACTTGTTTTGAACATGGGTGACCAGAACGGTTCACTGATTTATAGGTGAGGTCTCAGATGATCAGATATGCTACCTCTAGGAGCACAGATGCTTTTTCACACTGACAGCTCACACTTATTCACTGATGAAATAGAATACCTCAGCATTTTCCCCCTTCATGGTCATTTTCCACTGCTGAGGTCCTAGGCTATAACGGGTATTTATTTCAAATCCCAAACGGACCAAAAACATATGATGCGTCACGCACCCCTTAGTGATAAGGCCCTGTTTGTTTAGTTACCTCACTCCCACTGTATTTGCCGCTGTTATTCATACAAACATTAAACAAGATCATTCCTAAAAATGAACTTTGATTTCAACAACATTCTCAAACTTTTTTTTAAATTTCTCTTGGAAAAAATCCCAGCCCTCTTTCACTGAGCCAGCTTCTCATGCGTTTTGCACTTCTTCAACTAGGGAAGGAGTGGGTAGTTCAAAGATTTGCAAGTGACGCACATCAAAAGTTCAGAGAGAAGAGTTCTACTACAGCTCCTCTGTCTAGGGACGTTAGTTTCAATACTGTTAGTCCTTACATGTAGTTCCTGTGGAAAAATATACTGTATTTTAATCATTTTCCAGCTTATCTGTCTCTAGTATGACTTTTGAAGGAGAGGGTAAACACCTGCATAAAAGTGAAGTCAGAATAACAAGCCTAAAAATGGGTCAGATTATTTTTCTTCCTCTTTCCTTCTTACGTATAGGTAATTTAGAAAGAGATGTCCCAGTTTCATAGTACGTCATAGACTTAAAATACGTGACAACAACTGATACGAGACCTCGTAGCTCATGTGCCTATTCTTTCACTAATATGAGTTTTCTTACTCCTCTGCAGTGAGGACATTCAGTTCTTATTTTTAGTTTGGTTTCTATTTTGCTTGCGAATCATTGTTTTTTTTTTTAAATCTACACTGGGTCTTACATTCCTCAAATTCCAAACTACCATCAGTGTCCCCATGAAATGAATGGAGCAATGAAGGTCTTCTAAAGCATCTAGAGTAATTTTTCATTTCAACCTCAGACCTACTTCCTTTTTTTCCCCCCCTCTCTTCATCTATGCTTTCACATCTCTTACAAGGTCTAACTCAATCTTATTGTTTGTAATTCTTGTTTTACTTATTTCCTAGAATACTATTTTCATTATCATCAGTCTGGCTTTTTTTCCCCCTCTATTCTTCACAGGCTCCCCTGCTTTTTTCTTTTTTTTTTTGTTTGTTCGCTTTTGAGGCAGTTAATCACCCAGTTAGGTGGGGAGCCCACTGCTACTGGACTGTTTCTTCTTTCTGTGGAATACAGATCCAATTTAACATTAGCAATTTGGAACTCAAGAAACTTTTTATGTCCTTCCTGTTCAGACACCTGTATTGTTTAGACCAGGTGACTTTACTTCCATATTTCCTCACTCATCACTTTTGAGATCAGAAGCCTTAGTTAGTCTCAGACCTGTTTTTGTTTATCCTTCCATATAAACTTGAGCAATTCATGATCACTCAGTCAATGGTAATTTCTGTTCTCATCCATAATATCTTCATTACTTACCAAAATGAGTTTAAAATAGCATCCCCTCTTGATGAGTCAGTGAGTGTTTGATGAAGAAATTTGTCGGATATCACATCCAGGAATATCTGGGCCCCACCATTATTACTAGCAATTCTTCTCCAATCTGTATCAGGGAAGTTAAAGTCTCCCATAATGACATAATTCCTGGTAGTAATTTTCTCTAACAAGAGTAAAGAGATCTTTAATCCATAACCAAATCTCACTTTGGGGATAGCTCATGACTCAATGGTAGTAAAAAGTTTTATCCTTTTCTCAACTTACTTAAATTGCATGTCTCCAATACTTGTTTTGTACAGTATGAGTGGGATAAACAGTGCTACTTCTAATATCTTTATTTCTACAATTGTTAAACATGCACATCCTTCAAAAACCTGCATTAAGCCTTATCATTTGCTCCTCCAGCAGCTACATTCTCTTATACCAATTCACATGCTATCTTAATAGTTAAAATGTCTCATGGACATTCCTGGCCAGGTTTCCTATTTGGGAGTTTGGATTTCTTTGGCTTGTTTGGAATGTGGGGAGATGGAAGAAGGTTTTTGTTTCTGTTTATTTCTTTCATTTCTGACTGCACCTGTACCCAAACTACACTGTCACATCACCACCACTGTCA